ATTTCGACTGTTATGTGTTACTACTTTTTCAGAACATATTTTCATCAATTTGGTTTAAACTAAAAAATGGTTATTTGTTTACAGATGCAATAAGAAAGATTGGATTAACCGTTTTTAAAGATTAAAGAAGAAAAGAATACGCTAAGTCATGTACTTGTGTTTATGAAACTGATGCATAAGTTATCGTCAATTAGAAAGAGTACAAGCTGAGATGAAGAATGGTTGAGGGACTTCAATGTTTGATAGTTTATATTATCGTAGAAATAAAAATCTCCTTTAACAGGATAAAAAAATGAAATGGAAATCAAAATCTCCTCATTTACGTGATATAGTTACACAGAAAATAGAAACGGTGGTTTAAAAAAGGAAGATAAACATATATTTATATCGTAAATACATTTAATTTTTTAAATTTGATATTATATATGAACTAATTATATGTCTAATATGCAGGGATTGTATAAGTCGTCGTAAGCTAAATAGTAAAAATAAAATTTGAGGTAATTATGGTATGAACGGAAGATATAATGGTAATTCAATGTCTTGTTAAAATATTGCATAAATCAATCATAAAGATAGGTAGCTAACATTAAATACAGGAAAACTCTTAAAAGTGCTATAATATAATAACACCCGACAAATATTACATACGGAAAACTCTTAAAAGAGCTATAATATTAGCATTTGGCAAACATTAAATACGAAGTTTTAGAAGAATGACACATGTACAAACAAAATTATTTTTTTATTAATAGGCGAGACTTGTTTCAAAAGCTCTGATTAAGATCATATGTTGAATTTTGCAAAAAAAACTATCTACTTTGTGCACCTCTAGCCCAATTACAAAATTTCTTCAATTCTAATATATAACTATTTATACCCATTTTAATTGGTTTAGTCGTTAAAATGCAACCTAAAACACTAATGATCAGGGATTAAGGAAAAAAGTTACTTCAAAAGTCATTTTATGTCCACAAATATGGTGCATTCGGACCAATTTTTCTATGACATTGTTCATTAAAAGTTAGCTTTACAACCGGTCGCTTTAAGTTTACTTTTTCTCCATGTGCTAGTTTCAAAAGCATGTTGTATGAACAGACGTTTTATTCCTTCAATTGTCGCTAGTTTTAGTGAATGACGAGATAGCGAGCTTCCAAAGAAAGTCATAACACTACAAATCAGGAGTCATTGTCAATATCTCCCTTATACCAACTTTGATTTGAGACCACAGTAGAAAGAAAAAAAAAATTATACTTTCAAGTTGGCAAGATTTGATCTTTTGAACATGCTTTAGAGTTTCAACATAAATTAATGATTCAAGAAATGTGTACATATCATTCAAAATAACAAAATTAGCTAATGACATTCTAAAAACAACAAAATTTTAACCGCATGGTGGGCATGCAATGTTCTGTTAAGGGCTGGTACTTTACTATTTTCTTTTGTATATCATTGTCACCTCATTTTCTTTTATACTCCTTAATTTATAGGAAATTGACACATCTCACTCACTCACTTTTTTTTTTATTAAATATATTTAAAATAATAAAAAAGGAATGTTTCATTAATTAATTAAAAACCATTACTTACATAAAAACGACAATTAAAATTTCATCACGATTTCCCCGAAAGATGATCGATATTTTGCGTTAAAAATTACATGTTGTGACTTTTTTGTTTTTCTTTTCGTGCTTTTCGATTCTCTTCTCGCGCTTTTCTCTCTCAGTTAATTTCTTTTTTTTTTCAAATTGCAAACGACTATTCAAACTATATATTTCGAAGCTATTTGTCACCTTACGTATGTCATCACCTTTGTTGGCTCTCAATGCATTAGACGAAGACCCTCTTTTTCTGCATTATCTCTACCAATTGGGCGGACTATCTCTCCGAGATCAAACTCGTCATTTTGGTTCAAGTTAAACCCGAAACGACCATCTGATGAAGTTGTAAAACTTGTTTCGGATTTTTTAGTTCTTTTTCAGTAAAACTTTTCATTTTAGTGACCGTATAAAAACTTTTCAAACATCGAGAACTTTGAACGACTTCCGATTATTTTAAATTTTAAATATTTCAAGCATCATCTCAAAAACATTTGTATCACTTTGCCCGCTTTTTCTTTGGCTCATCAAGCTTTTGTACACCCTGTTCAGCTTTGTGATTGTTTTGTTCATTTTCACAAAACTTGGTTGTACATTCATGCTTTGAACGGTACTCGCCAAGACCCATTTCGTTGTGAACCCGCTCGGTAATGTGTCGCCAAAAATATTCTTGCTCTTGCGCATTTCCATACATGGGTTCCTTGGAAATGTCGTTCCATGATTTTGCTAATATTTTTTCTTCTTTTGGTGCCCATTGTCGAGGACTGCTTTTCCTATTTTAGACTGGTTTTTTCCATTTCCTTTTCCTTTAGAGTCGGATGGTAAGGGAACTGCGGCTCAAGTTTTGTTTCCCGAACAATACGATTTCCGGCTTGGTTGGGGTGGGCTTCCGGGGATATATTTTAGGAGAGCGAAAAAATGTGAAAATAGGTTGGGCTAATGGGTAGCATAGAGTAATATTGTGGTATTTTTTTATAGTAAAATTGTTTGGGTTGAAGAGGGGTGAAAAAATAGGAGCATCAAGTTGTAGTATGTAAAACCAAGAATAACGTGAGGCTTGAACTTGGCGGCAAGGTCAAAGTTAAGTCATGACAAGCCTTGTGAGCCATGACGTTTTTCAAGGCGTGACTATTTTATATAAATTAAAAAAGATAAATCATACAATTATTGAATTTTATCAAACATATCAAGTTTTTAGAAGTGTTATATTAATATTTAGTATCAAAAGGTTAACAAAAACTCAATTATTTTAGAGCCGATTAGAAAAAAAAAAAAAAAAAAAAAAAAAAAAAACTCGCGTCTTGAAAAAAACGCGTCATAACGCGATAAGGCGCACCTTGACACGTTATTTGGGCAACATGCTTACTAAATCCGCATTGGACATTTTCGTAACAGCTACGTCACGCCTCGCACCATGGCACGCCTTGAGGCGCGCCATGACTCGCTTTTTAGAACTATGTGTAAAACTGACTGAGCCAGAGTTGTTTAACCACTCACATGAGACTTATTTCAACCGAATATTATGGTAAATTTGATAGGAGGGTTGTTTATATTCATTTTAGTAGTCGGACCTTAGAGTGACTTTAGTAAGAGGGTTATTTGTATTCATTTTGGTAGTAGAAAGTTTAGTGTATTGTGTGAATGAATAGTAGAAAGTATACTAGTTGTGTGAGATAAAGTATTAGGTTGTATTGTGTTATAGCGGTTAATTTAAAAAAAAAATACATAAATAAATAAAATAAAACTGAAAAGTAGTTGCTAATAACTGTTTTAGAATACAACCATTGGAATGAAGAAGAATTGTATTTGGTGAAGGTATGTCGCCCTCGGGTGGACACCGATCCACCGCACATCGGTCGGTGAGGTGTTTACCGCTCACCACGTTGATAGCTCACCACCTTGCAGTGTGCTGATGGATACTTCTAATGGCCTAACCCTAATAGAAACTCGAGTAATTTTAATTATCGAACGAGTCTATATACTATATTTAACAAAACCATTCATTTGAATCGAAAACCAATAAAATTAATTTTTTAGAAAATAATTCAAGCGAAAACACTTTATAGAAAAAATTATATTATAATATTGCTATATAGTTAAAAATAATAAATAGATAACATTTTCCTTAAAGCTTTTTTACAAAATAGTCGTTTTCTCATTTTTTTCTTAAATTTTTTCAAAACAATAATTTTAATCTACTCTTAAATCATTTTAATTTCACATGTCTCAGTAACTTGGTTTCAAAAATGGATAAATGATACTTTTTGGTACTACTTTTTTCTTAATTAACCGCTGATTTTTGTGAGAAGCCACTTGTGAAACCATTATTTGTTGTAAAAAAATCTACCTTTCTAATAAATATAATTTAAAATTGTCACTTCTTCTTCTATTAAACAAGTTGTACATGTGTCGATCTTTTCTCATATTTATTTCTTTGTTTTTTCATTTAAGATTTTCCTACATAGAAATTAATTTTTTTCTATTATATTTAACAGTATTAATTATTAATTCATATTAAACTTCGAATCCCTAAGCATAATCCTTATTTCTTTAGATGTTTTTTAACAACTATTTCATTCTATATTGTATAATTATTTTCATATTTAATATGTCAAGTTACACATTATATTTTTTATGTTTTTCTCATTAATTAAGAATTAAATAACATTATTTAAATTTAATAACCAATTTAAATATATTTATACATAACAATCGTAAACTTATCAATATACATCAATTATTATAAAATAAATTATTTACATATGTATTATTAAAATTTATTTTTTATTGTAGAATTTTTTTTCATCGTTTAATCGTCTATAACACACTATAACACACGGGTTACGACCTAATAAAAATATATAAAATAAATGGCTTTTTTGTGAAATGTCTTGAAAGAAAAGTAGCAATTATTTTCTTTTTCTATAAAAAATAATAATAATAATAAAATTGCTATTTCGTTTAGTCTTAAAAAAGAAAGTGGCAATAGTTGCATTTTTTCTATTATTAAAATTTCTCATGGTATATAAGATACTAAATGTTGATGAATAATCTAAAAATGGTCCAAACATTTTTTTTACTTGCAGAATTCATAATAAAAGTTTTTTATTTTTCATTTTGAAAAAAAAAAACCCTGAATTATTATGAGAGCTTTTACATTCCACTTTTTTCAAGAAAGCTTCTTATTATGAGAGCTTTTTAATTCCGCTTTCTTAAAGATTTTTCATTTTGAAAAAACTCTCTTCTCATTAACCACCTTATACAAAAACAATAGAATAATATAAATCAGTTCGACGAGTATGTATATAAACAAGCTCTCCTTTTAATGACATGGCATCAAAAAATCTTTATGAAAAAATGTTTGATCTGCTACCCAACTTGTCCGAAAAGACAAATTTTACCATCTACTAAGTAGGTGAAAGGATAAGATAGCATAAAGCCAAAAGACATGGAGGGACATAAGTCATAAGATCTAAAGACTAAGAGCTAAATGATTTATGTCAAGTTGCAAAGGGGGACGTATAGGGATCCTATACCACCACCACCGGTCCCCACCACCAGAACCCTCTACACCACCGCCATCATCAGTAATCACCACCACATGGTTGTCATTATTAGAAAGAGAGTGTGTGTTGATGGTGGGCCTATGCACATGGTGGCGTATAGGGTGTTGATTGAAAAGCACATGTTTTTTTTTTCAAAATCTCCCTTCTGAATTGAACAAGAATCGTACGTAAAATGATTGATATGCGATAAATATGTCGGGAGGGTTTTATATTTACCCCATTTCTACTCCATTACTAAATTAGTCATGCTGACGTCATTGGGTTTTTTTTTCTAATGATGATAGTAATAAGTACATGATGGTTGGATGCTTTTCACTTTTCACAGTTTCCCATTACCACCAAAACATTCGTGTGGTTCAATCAAAGATCTCTTGGGCCTCAATGATGCTATGCTGGCTGAAAACAAGAAATACCAACGTACATCTATTATTTATTTATATTATTTTATTAGGAAGTAGTATATGAATATAATAAACAGAAAAAAATGAAAGTACATTGCTATTTCTTTTCATTTGACCCTATAAAATGAAGAATAAAGGTAAAAATAGTTTAGACTTACTGGTCATCTTTTGCAACCCGATAGTATTTTTCTGCATGCTGGCGTTGACCAATAAGTTGAGCGAATCGCTCATCGTGAGTAATTACTATCAGCTGAAAATTCTCCTGCCCTTTCCTATCTTCCATAATTCTGGACAAAAAAAATTATAATATAATCCAATTACTGCAGTAAAAAATTCAAAAGTTAAACGAAAATAAAATTGTACCTTACGAGAGCAGCAGCAAGACTTTCGGCATTTGGAACATCTAAATTGGTGGTTGGTTCATCAAGTGCAAGTATTCCACAGTTAAGGCAAAAGGTTTCTGCTAATGCCAATCTAATGATAAGTGAAGCAAGCACCTGAGACCGAATGAAAGGGGATTGGTGAAATTACGGGTTTACCCTTCATTCCAAAATACAATGGGAATGGGCAATTAGAGATGATGGCAGACCTTTTGACCTGCACTGCACCTTCCTCGCATTTCAAGCTCAGCGTCACCAGTTTGCATAACAACCTGAACTTACAATCACACCCATAAACATTAGAGTTGGGTTAAAAATAAAATGAGATATACTTAGCAACATACTTTCATTTCATTTAATTTTATTTTAAAAAAAGTTAGGAATTTACCTTGTAGCTATAAGACCTTGTAGCACCACCTTCAGCATCTGAATGGATACTAATGTAATCAATATCCTGCCCTCTGTACGTTTGCTGCCATAATTCTCTTATAATTTTATTTATTTCTTCCATTTTCATCGCGTGGAACCGCATGAGTGCCCTATTAGGATGATGAAATAACATCAAAGTATCAAACCAAAGCCTATGTTAGTTAGAACTTAGAAGTAAACATAACAATCCCTAAACCATAATCACATAGATCGCCATATGACTCACGATCCCCGTTCCGAACGTCCCGTTCCCAAACGGGGTGCGTTTGCGTTCCAGTCAGTGGCCGATTCGCTGTCCGATACGGGTACCCTGCGATCCCGTTTAATCTTCAATTCGGTCATGGAACCATGAAATCGGCGATCCGGATTGCTCAGAAACGTGATTAGGATCGCCAATTTTGGACTTGGGGTCGCCGATTTTGGTTTGAGCGGGAACTTGCTTATCTGTGAAAAAACGTTTGACGCTACGATAAAGTTATCGATCTCATCGATTCCTGGTATGTTTCTTCGATTCCTATATCCGATTCTTCCAGTGAATCTCGATTCCAATAATTATTTAAGATGCCTCTTATCCCACATCACTACTCACCGGTTCACCCACATTACTCTCTCTATTGCTCGGTTCTTTTTCTGTTACGCTTCTTCATCACAGACCCTTTCCAATATACTCTTTCTTTATTGATTTGTTTGGTGTGAAAATGGTATTTGGCAAATCTTTTAACCGCACAGAAGATAGTGAAACACAACCACCACCTTAAGCTTTTGTTGATCTTGAGAATGAGGACCAAAGAGCATCAGATATAGGTACATCAGGAAGCAAGAAAACGAATGATAAGGATGCTAGCAGCCTCTGTTGGAAGAAGTCACTTTTACTGGTTCTGGAACTGGTAAAAATGCAGGGGGACAAAGATATGGATTTGCAACCACTGCAAAGTCCAGTACACAAGCTCCTATACCAGAATTCACACACATTTCTTTGGGGCTCAACCTGGGAAGACCGCGGAAATAAGAAGATGTCCGGTTATGATTAAGGACCAGGAGAAGCTACAAAGACTTTTGAGCAAGGTTAAAGAAGCCGAGAGCGGAGGTGTTTCAAAATCTTTAAAGAATTCTATACTTTCGAAAAAAGCAACATCAAGAAAAGGAATTGAGGAATCTTTTGGTCTTATGGAGCGAAATGTGGTTGACATGAAAATAATTAGAGGATTGTGTGCTAATGGTATCCCGTTTAACATCTTGCGGAATCCACAATTTATTGAAATGCTCAATGCACTCAAGAAGGCACCGGAGAGATGCAAACCTCCGTCTAGTGAAAAAGGAAGAACCGTATTGTTAGATGAGTGCATGAGAGATGTTGAGCAAGACCTAACCCAAGTCAAAGTCAAAGATACTTGGTACACGCAAGGGGTTTCTATTGTTTCCGATGGGTGGTCTAATGTCAAACATAAGCCACTCATCAATGTTCTTGCGGTTAAATTGCAAAAGAGCCGACAAATTGGTTTTCATTCACAATGTGAAAAGAAATAGGTTAAATTGCAAAAGAGCCGACAAATTGGTTTTCATTCACTCTAATATTCGACTCCTATCTCGTTTCTCGGATTCATATAGAGCGGGCCCATACAAAAAGTGGGACATGAATCCCGAAAACACTTACATTGAAGGCTCAAGTTCACGATTAGAAGAAATGCTTTGGGAGAACTTAGATGAAGACGTGGAGAATGGGCAAGGAAAAAGACAACGCGTGGATTGAAGAAAACTTTTCTGTTAAATTGTTTTTTTGGGAATTCTGTTTTTTGTTTTTTAGTGTTGGAAACTTGGAATCTGTTTTGATGTGTTGCTGGAGAACTGTTTTGATGTATTGAAGTGTTAGTTTATTACTTAACTGTTTTTTAAAGTAATTTTGCTGGGAAATATTAAAATTCTGTTTTTTGGTTTCCTGTTAATGTGTTTTGAAGTAAAATATGGCTGGAACTTTTGTATTAACCATGGGTACAACGTACCGAAATACACGATACACCGTATCGGAACGTACCAGGACCACCCGAAATGAACCTACCCCCGCCGTATCCGATACGTCCTAACTGCCGAATCTCGTTCCCGTATCGGACCGTACCGCGAACTATGTGACTATGCCCTAAACCCTAATTTATATTATGGCTTCAAGAAACAAAAAACAAGCTATGAATAGAAAAACTCACTTGTCAAGTGCATTGTAATATTTATTCAGATCCTTGTTCGCCATCTCAGTAGTCTATTAAAAAAAATACAAAAAAAAAAGAAGGTATTATCTTCATGGCACAATGATAAGTAAGAGAAGTTTGTTGACAAAAGGGTATTATCACCTTGAGCTTGAGTAGCTGATCAAAATGCCGTTTGTCGATTTCTTTATATTCAGGATTTTTAAGATCAAGTTTATTCTTTGAGATAGCCTTCTGATATACAGCCAATGTACCATGGCACTTGTTCAGCTGCAAAATAAAGCAGAGAATTTTAGAATCAATTATATGATTCCATTTCAAACTATATTATAGCATGTTACTTTCATTTGTTGATAATGTATGTAGTTTAAAAGAGCCATCCAATTATAGCAATGTCCTAATAAGAAGAAATGGAAGTGAAGTAGGTAGGTAGGTAGGTAACTGAAACATACCTCAGAAAGAAGCCTCTCTCTTTCTTTAGTAAGCTTTCCAAGATGAGCTTCGGAGGCAGAAATGCCACCCATGGCTAGTATTCTTTCCTCCAGGGATTCAATCTCAAGAGTACACGCCTCTACTTTCGCCTTTACCTCTCTATACCTCAGATGGTCCTCAATATTACGTTTTAAATTATCTTGATTTAGCACCAGCTTTTCAGTTTTGCTCACTTCAGCTGAGATTTCCTGATTTCTCATTTTGTAGTTTTGAAGCTTGGAATTTTCTACATGCAGTTTTTCTTCCACATCTTTCAGTTTGTCCAGGATATTTTCTTTTTCATACCTGATAGGAATCCAAGAATACTAGACATTAGACAGTAACAACAAAATGACAAATTTACCCTTGAGGATCACGGAACTTGCCATTCAATCTTGGAGATCAGTTTATCAAGCATGTCAACACCCTGATGAAACTTTCTTTTCAGTTCAGCTTCTTCTTCGTATTCTTGGCTGAGTTTTTTTTTCTTATTGTCATGAGCACTTCTATATTTTTCCATCTCCTTGGATAAAGGGCCAACAGACTCTTGTAAATGCTGAAACCAGATACAACGAGAAAACATGAGAAATATAGCAATGTAATGTACTTGATTTGTTTATAAAACCAAATTACCTTCATCTCAATGTCAAGTTGATTTGACTCTTCAGCTATTTGCTCAAGCTCCTCTTCCAACTTCACTAGATTCTTTAAGCCCATCTCCGATTTGGTTTTTTGTTCTCGCTCAAGATGCCATCTGGAAGAAACCCTTTGAAAATTAAGCTCCAGATCCCTTCTTTCCTCTCGTAACTTTTCCAACTCTCTTTCTGAGTTTTCCCTATATTATATTAAACCAACAAAGCAACATAGAATTTATTTATAATTTAATGCATGAAAGAAAAACCCTTATGCCATGTCTTACTTACTACATAATAGAGTTTGTATATGCAGAATCATACTTTGTAAATTCAGCAGTACGAATCTCACGTTGCATTTCTTCCTTGGATTTGACACCTACCCCACACAAATCAAGTCTCTCCTCCAAGTCATTAACTTCCTGCTGCAGCTGTTGTATTTCACTAAGAATTCTGTCACACGTGTCTACGGGTTGCATCAAAGATTCAACTAACTCCTTATCAGAACTTATTTGAGCTAAAACACCCAAGACCTACATTGTTTATTTTAACAATAAGTTCAATTTATTATTATCAGAAAAAAGAAAAAAGAAAAAAAAAAAAAAAAAAGAATTACATCATCAAGAGCTTGAGTTTTTTGGTCCAACTCCTCTTTCAGCTCGACTAAACTCCTCTCTGCAAGGGGAATTGATTCTTTGCAAATTTTGTTGTATTCTTCATACATTAATCGAAGTTTTTCCAATTGTTGGAAGTTTGATTCTGCTTCTGAAGATTCCACAGCTAACGATCTCATACGATCTGCAGAGCTTGCAGCTTTGACTCTTTGCTGAAAATTGAATCCAACAATAGGGGTGTTTTGGTAAAAAGACAATGGAACTGATACCTCATTCAAGTAAACATTCTAACCTTTTTAACAAAGTCGTCTTCTTCTTGAGCTGAGAAAGGACGCTCACAGCAAGGGCAAATATGATGTGCACGAGCAACTCGTTCAAAAGGATCAAACATTTGTCGCATACCATCAGCAATGTTGTACTTGCTGTCTCAAGTCAAGGGTATTATAGTAATTAATTAATATCTTGAGTTAGTAGTTTCTGAAATGAAAAAAAAAGTTGAAAGAAGAGAACCTTTTGTGGACATCCCTTTTTTCTTTAGCTACATCCAAGACTTTGACATATGATTCAATGTTGGCAGAATTCTGACCCAGAGTTTGAAGCTTTGACTCAATAACTCTCCTTCTAGCTGCAATATAACCGAAATCATTAACAATTAAGTTTCTAAAAAGGTGTTACAAAGACTTATCCTTGTTTACTGCACCTGGTTTCTACAAGAAAACTCTTAAGGGCATGTTTAGCTCTAGTGGATTCTGGCAGAATCCGAGGGAATTGGAGTTTTAGATTCCATTCCATGGCGTGTTTTATTGCCATATTGGTGGAATTCAATTCCGTTGAATTCCATGCTTAATAGATTTCACCATCATTAGGGGAAGATGGAAGGAATCAATTACATTCTTTCGTTCTTTTCATTGGAAGACCAAAATACCTTCATTATACATGTTCTATATAACGAAATAAATAAAAATAAAAAACTTAAGAACTATTCAATCTTGATTATTGAATTTCAGTCCATTTCTTGCCAAACAAAAGCATGACAATTACAATTCCTTTGAACAGATTTTACTCCTTAAAACCACACATCGTTACTTAAAATTAATAGTTAATTTAACTCGTTATTTCACTAGAAGCAAAACTAAGTGCTGATGGAGAAATTTTCCTTTGATATATATATAACTTCTAAAGCTTTTATGAAGACTTACAGTCTTTATCTTTGTTAAGCTTGGCCAGGTTATTGCTGACATCTTGTATTTTTAGTTGCATTGCACTAACATCTTTGTCAGCTTCACGCGACTTTGAGTTCAAATCATCATACTCAGTTGTAAGCGCCCTGCACTAAAAGCTAATCATCAATACAAATTGACTATTAATAAATGTAATCAATGTTATAAGTACCATAATATTGGAATTTTGGGGTCATTAAAATGTTGGGTTGGGTACTCATTCATATTAAGCAAACCATATAATGATATAATATAGTAGGTAACTCTCACAAAACCCAATTTTTAATTTAGGTAATGTGTTTTTTGTGCACAGTTGTAACATAATTCAAGGCAGTGTATTTTCATCATTTTAGACGTATAGCAACATACTTTATATTTCTGTCAATTATTAATGATATATATATATATATATATATATATATATAGATAGATAGATAGATATTCTAATTTGTGTATTGTATCAATGTTCAATATGATGATGATTATAAAATTGAAAAAGTAAAGGAAACACAACGTAACCTTAGAGCTTGAGAGACTTCTTTCTTCAAATCTTTGTCCAGAGGTAGCCTCCCTTTCAAGACTCCTTTGATTTTATTCTTGTGTTCGTCTAGACTACAAAGCAAAAGACATTGATATCATCAATGAGTTTATATAAAATAAAATGAGGAGCATAGACTTCTTACATTTTTTTGTGTTTTTTCTTGTGACTTTCCAACTCCCTTTTCTTTATAGATAGTGAAAATCTCTCTTCCGCATCCGCAGCCATTTCGTCTTTCTCATCAACAAGTTTTTTAACTGCAATTGCAAGAGATTGTACCTCTGCTGCCTTTCTCTGTATTTTAGTCTCAAAATCTCCTTCGGTAAGCTGCTTACTCAATCTTTCAACCTCAATACTCTGCCAATTCCAAATAACCCACAAGTGAAAAAGTTTTAAAAAAAAATGGAATTGGCTTTTACTATCTCTTGATTCTTGAAATGTGAAAGAAAGAGAATTGAAGTATTACAAGGCTCTTTTCTTTCTGATCAATCAGACGCAATTTGTCATCAGAAATATCACGCTCCAATTTATCACGCTCGTTTTCTTTTTCTTTTTTTCGGGCCATTGTGCCACGCTGTATCAAGTTACAAATTAGTGAAATCCTTTTAATGTTAGTGAATAAAACAGCACCTAAAGAATTGCATTACCTGTATCTCTGACTTAGCACGCTTTTCAGCCTCAACATTTTTACATCGGTCACTTGAATCACTGTAAAGATCCCATGCTACCCTAAGCTCTTCATCCATAGATTTCTGAGAAAACAATCATTCCAAATTATATTAATTACAACATACGATGACAATTATGAATATGATCAATTCATTGCAAAAAGATGAAATTCCAAAGGCTTCGGAAATTAAAACTCAACTTTTGCCATAAAAGAAAACAAGTGTCCCAAGAATCATGGGTTTTAAGGTCTCTCAGTTTCTAAATCATGTGCTCTATAAATATCCTCTATTTTAGAAATGTTTTTATAGCTTTATATATACCTTCTTCTCATCTAAGTTACGCTCAAGATCTTTCAATCTTGACTTTAGGCGACTTATATGATTTGAAACAACATCATTGCTGAAAGGAGTTTTTGGAAGAGAACCCAGATTGTGTTGTCTGTAAAGCTCTTGGATTGTCGAGTCTCTCTCCTTCTTCAAGGACTCATAAATCTAAGGCAACAAGAGCAATACCAATTAGTAACAATGACCAAAATTGGAGGTTGAATATTGTAAAAAAAAAAAAAAAGCAGTATCAGTGTAGGATAAGAAGATACTTCAGCTTCCTTCTTAAGCTTGCCGACTTCCCCATTGTACTTATTGATTTGTTGCTGAGATATATTTCTTTTTATCTCTAAGTCCTCAATGTCCCTATTTGACTTGTTAATTTTATCTTGAAGAACTGCTATCCTTTCATTAAACTTGTCATTCCATTCCTTTAAATCTTTGTCAGTATCTATTAAATATTTACCACATAATTAGAACAAACAAAGAGAAAATATATAACTCGTAAAAGAGCCAATTAGGGCATATCCAACACAACACCAAATCCCATTTTTTACACCACTTTAATCCAACCCAGCACCATTTGTTGAACCAAAATGGTGTAAAGGAATAGTACAGCACCAAATTTGGTAATTTGGTATTCCTTTACACCACATTTGGTGTTGAATTTTCATGTGTTCAAATTGGTCTTTCAAGTTTGATTTTATTTCTAGTTACTTTTAACGGATACTTATATTTTAAATGCAATAATTGTTATTTGTAACATTATGGTATATATTAAACGGATATTAATTAATCACATATATTAAATTTAATCTTTATGTTTTAAATGTATTTAAAATTTTAAATACCTTTTACTATTTGTTACTTGTAATATTATGGTATATATTAGATGCTTTAATATAAACATATATAATAAATTGTTACTTGTAATGTTATGTTATATATCAAACGGATGCATGACAAATTTGTAAAAAGCTAATAAATACCCATAACACCATTTTTTGCATCAAAATCATGTACTATTGGGTGCAAACAGTGATTCATCTCCAACCCATTTCTACACCAAAAAGAATATTCCTTTTTTTCTATCTTATATAGATTTTCTATAGTTCCCCTTATATTTACTAGTTTTTTTATAATTTATATGTAATATCTGTTACTTGTAATATTTTGTTAATAACTTAACATGTTTTATATTAAAAACTTTTGTAATAATCATATATATTAAATTATTACTTGTAATGTTATGTTATATATTACACTGATGTAAGAAAAAAAATGTTAGAAGCTAATAAATATAACAAGAATTATAGAATATATATATATAAGTTAAAAAAAGGAATATTCTTTTTGGTGTAAAAATGGTGTATTGGGTTAGAGATGAATAACTGTTGGCACTCAATATTACACGATTTTGGTGCAAAATGGTGTGGTGATATGGGTTGGATATGGTCTTAGAGATTGCTGATATAATTAAGATGCTAAATTACAAACCATCATTCTCTTCTCCTAAATCTTTAAAACGCTGCTGTTGCTCCTTAAACAAAGCGCTTCTTTCAGCAGTCTTGGTGGCAACCTGGTCTTCAAGCTTACGTTTTTCCTTCAGTATAGCTTCAGTTTGACGAATTTTCGCATCCACATCTTGAATATGTCTATCCAAGTCCTGCATTTTACTCCCCAGTCTTTCTGATTCTTCATGATCTTGAGTGATGCTTTGTCGAAGCTGTAAGAAGACACCAAAATCTAAAGTTGTTGCATTGAATCGGCTATCTTAAACATGGGAAGAAGAGATATAAACCTTGAGTGCAGCATCTTTCAAAATTTGAAGCTTCTCTAAATCCTTCTGAGAAAGCTTAATCTCTTGAGCCTGATCCTTGTGAAGCTTTTTAATAATCTCCAATGCCTTTGTATATCTTTACACGGAATTTACAACAGAAAGAGGTGTAAATCATTACTCAAGATAACAGTTGTAGTAACAATGAAAACAAAGAGCCAAGTTAGAAACATGTAATTCAAGGAAGTACCTTGTAGCTGAGAAGATGTCATCAAACTTCTTTTTCAAAGTCGAAGAATCTTGTAGTGGCCAATTGGCCTCATCTTGGTGTACAAATATGACATTTTCAAGAATGGCTTTAGAGACACCCATAAGAGCAGGAATTTCACGATCCATGTCTGCACAACGATAGCTAAGGCAAACTTTCTGCATTTACACAATAATAGAAGACTGTTTTGAGCATATAATTATCAACATACATGCACCAGCTGTGGTTCACATAACACCAAAATAAATTCTATTAGCAAGCAACTTTGAGGAAGTTGAACAATACATTAGTAAATGACATGGTTGACTAAAATCTAGCAAATAAAGACCTTAAAACAGTTATGAAGATACACAGCTACAGTTCCAAGTGTTGAGGGATCATTTAAAGTACCTCTCCAGTGTTAGGGTTTATTGTCTGCAAAACACTCTCAATTGCCTTGTACTCCATCTTTGAAGCCTTCTGAGTCAACTGGAACGATCTTATACACACCACGTCTTTACCTGCTGCTGTCTTGAAACGCAGCTTTATTTGGGCCTTCGTTTCTGTTTCCCCTGCAACCTACAACCCCCCATTTCATCCACTTAAAAACATTTCATAACCATTAACCACACCTACATAAGTATATAAGCATTTCAAGGCCCATTTAGCATAGCTTCAAATCATCTTCAGGCTATTCTCATTTCTCTTTTCAGACAAACAATGAATACAAAGTTTTCATGTTAAGAGGTTGTATATGATGCCTTTGCAAAGCTTTCGGTATGTTGGATTTGATTAAAAATTCGCTTGTTAGTCAATTTTGAAACCATCACACAGCTTGAAAACCAGCTTACAAAAAACAACATACATGAATCCAGTATTAATAAACATGTTTGTGTATGCATAGAGACAAATAGAAAGAGAGAAACCTTGGGATCATGGATGAAACTCTGACCAGACCTAGCATTTGGTGGCAACTCACCCGTACAGGATAGCTTTAAGCACTCAATAATAGTCTGTAAACCAAACCAACATGTTACAAACGAACATCACCAACAAACACACTTCAGCATAAGTACACATAACTTTCGATGAACCCTACTTAGTAAATAACCAAAACACATCAACCGGTAAGTTAAATACAAAGAGTATGACGTATAAAGGTTTCAATCACTCTATCAACTAAGACCTAGACAAATTAATCCAGTTCGAGAGGGGAAGATACAAAGGCGTTAAAATAGAAGAAACGTATTACAGTTTTTCCGGCACCGTTAGCACCGACGATGAGCGTTAACGGCTTGTAGAAGGTGATGACGTTTCGGTTCTCCGGGTCGAAACTTCGGATACCTTTTATCAACATCTTGTCTACCGTACTCATTTTGAAACCCTTCCTTTCGTTTTCCCTCTTTCTGGTTGATTTACGGCTTCACTAGTAGAAATGAATCAACAGAAGATACTACACGAGCACATGATAGGGCATCCGAGTGTGTGATTCAATAGATTGAGTTCGCTAACGCCGGCGAAGAGTGATGGAGGTTGAAGGTGGTGGTAGGGTTTAGGAATTCCGGTGAAGGAAGCGGGTGTTTGACTATTTTTAAAAAATTCTCGATTTTACTTATTTATAGTTGTAAACAGTTGTTGGCTTGTTGTAAATGATATTGGTCCGCGAGTTTTTTTTTAGGCCCCTTTGATTGGTTGTGTGTGTTCGGTAAAGTGATGTCTGGGAAAGTGGGAAAGTGCTGCATGAGAAAGTTTTCTGACTGAGAAATAAACCATGTTGTTTGATTGTACATCTGATTGACTGTGCTGAATGATGAAAAATGACAATATTACCCTGCTGTTCTATACTGTGATGGATGAAGTTGCTGAATAATTATAAAAACTTACAAATTGTCATACAAAATCAAATTACATAATAATCATTTAAAAATCCAAATAGAATGCCGATTAAGTGTTTTTAGTTTTTTTTTTCAAGTTAATGTCGTTATTCTTTCTAGCAATTTTAATTTTTTTTATAACTCAAATATGCAATTTTTGACTCGGTTTATGTCCGATAGTGGTGGGATGGATGAATTTTTTCAAAATATATTAGGATGATGGTAGTGTTGTCTAAAGAAAATAAGAACTAATCCAATAAAAATGAATTAAAAAAATTAACTAAAAGAAAATAATAATCCAATAAAGTAATATTTATTAATATATAAATATTATATATTTATAAATAATATTTTTTAATATATAATAATCCAATAAAAAGAATTAATCCATTAAAAAGAAATAAAAAATATTTAAAAGAATTTAATAATCCTATAAAATAATATTAATTAATACATAAATATTATATATTAAAAATGATATTTATTAATATATAATAATTCAATAAAAAAGAAATTAAAAAATTATTTAAAAGAAATTAATAATGCAAGAAAGAAAAAGAGGCAGAGTTTGGGGCACAATTGTCTTTCCAGTCTATTCAGCCAGAAAGATATGGTCTTGGAGCTTTCTGGGAAAGACATATCTTACCGGGAAAGACCTATTTTTTCGTGCATATCAAACAGTCTTTCCGGTCCATTCAGCCAGAAAGATATGTTTGGACCTGGAAAGATGTCTATCAAACGGGTCTTATTTATTACATTACGAATTGTCAACAAAAATAGTCGCACAATCTTACATTAGGAATCACCAATATCGTAATTTGTTAGTTGTAAATTTCATAATATTGAAAAATATGGTCTTCGATATTTCGATATTTATAGGGGCGTTTTGCAACTACTTTAATGCTTTAAATAATAATGACAAATTAAATTGTACAAATGTTGGGTGGATTGTGAAGACTTTGGTGATATGGTCTAGAAAGGGTGGGTTGAATCCAACATAGAGCAGTGGTTTTTGGCAATTTGTGAAGTTCGAGAATAAACTTAAAATATTAAAGGAAACTATAAAGGATTAAAATATTAAAGGAAACTATAAAGGATTAGAGAAAATGGTGCAAAAGTGTCCATGGTGGGTGGGTATAAGAGAAAAAACAATTGCAAGGTTCATGATTGATAATGGGCTTGGTTATTGAAAAAAAAATATTTAAAAATGGTTGTGTTATAAGTATCTTAATCATTTTTACCTTCAAAAATCAATCAAATCAAAATTTTGACATTTGATTTGACATTATTTTTTTTTTCTTTTTTTGTCTTTTGTTGTTTTTTTTGTTTTCCAATTTTGTTTTGTTGTTATTTTTAATTCTTTTTTAATTTATATTATTATTATTATTATTATAATTATTGTTATTGTTGTTATTGTTATAAATTTCGCACAAAATTTTAACATTCGGGCGACATTATAAATTCGAACGGTTATATAAAATCGGTTTTTAAATATTTTTTATATTTTAATGTTAATATTATTATTTTTATAAATTTCGAACAACATTTTATAAATCGGACATTATAAATTCGAACGGTTATATAAAATCGGAAGTATTGTATAATGTTCGTCTAAATGTTTTCAATCTGCATAACACATCATGCAATTGTAATACCGTACCAATTAATATCCATAAATAATAGGGACAAACTTTGCTTTTGTTCCGATTTTATGTAGCCGTTCAAATTTATAATGTACGATTTATAAAATGTTGTTCGAAATTTTTTAATAATAATAAAATATAAAAAAATATTTAAAAAACGATTTTATATAGCCGTTCGAATTTATAATGTCGTCCGAATGTTAAAATTTTATGCGAAATTTATAATAATAATAATAATAATAATAAATTAAAAAAGAATTAAAAACAACAAAAAAACAAAATAGGAAAAAAAACAATAAAAGACAAAAAAATCAAATAGGGTGTGGAATTGGAAAATGATGGGGGTACTTATAGAAAACCTCATTTAGAAAACCTTATAGGAATCGAAAAGATAGAAATGAGTGATATTCATTTTATAAAGAAATGTTTTGTAAGTTTGATGGTGTTCGGATTAGGACTATAAGGCCTAGTCATCGGTTTCAACTTGGTCGATGGCCCAACACAATATATGCTTGATTGATGTTTTCTTTCGCGTTAACTAAAAGATACTACCTCGAGCCCTATATTGTTCGGATGGTGAACAAACTTGGTGAGACGAGGTATTATTTTATCGATAGGTTTAATGCATCGTTCATCACATTGATTATAAAAGTTGATGATCTTATATTTATTAAAGACTTCAAATTGATAGGTTAATCGGATTTTAATATAACATTATTGTGAAATTGTTGGCTATTGTGACCGACAACGTTGTAGCTTGTGGAGCATACATACGACCTTTATAAAGGGACATTAAAATTTGGATGGTATGTAAATTGTGAATAGAGTCATTACGTTAACTTTTTAGAATAGTCTATAATAATTATTTTATCAAATCTAGCCACTTTTTAAAATGGAAAAATGTTGCTATAGCATAATAAAATCTTGTAATTTGTTCGATATGGTCACTAATTTTTTTTCTACAATAGATCACTAAAGTGTTAGCTCTCAAATAGTGGAAAGATCAAAATTCATCCCGACTTCATGGTTACAATTAGTTTATGTGGCTTTTTTTAAATTAAATAGTAGTAATTGATCTACAAGGCTTTTTCCCAAGTGTCAAAGAAGAAGAATAATGTCCTCGTGCACAAGCTATAATAAGAGACGTGGAAATGGGGAGATTCTAAAATCAGGTTTCACTTTACATAACTCAAAATGAAATTTAAAAAACAAAAAAAAAAAAAAAAAAAAAAAAAAAAAAAAAAAAAACAACAACACAAAAGCTTTGAGTTCTCCTAGGTATTTCATCGAACGGGTGGCAGGTCCATGAAAAAGTCTAGCAAAAATATGAGAGGTGATGATGGGCAAGGCCTTACCCAATAGCAAGTGATTGTTACATGTCTTGCATACATAAAATGGTACGACACTAACACTCTGTTCCCGATATCAAATTAACGAGAAAATAAAGGAAATTGGTGGAAATGAGAAGAAAATAAAAAAAATTGGTGTTCCCGAGTTTCATTAAAGGAAGGAAGTGGGGGGAAATAAAATGATCACTTTCCCTCCTAATTTTTCTTCCGATTTGGGAGGATGAAAGAAATAACAAAATGATTAATTTTCCTTCCGTTTCTCTCCAACTCGGGAACACAAAAGAAATTTTTGTTTCCCTTTCCTTTCTCTTCTTTTCGTTTATTTTGTTACACTCGGGAACTAGGCGTAAGAGGGAACAAAGAAAGAGTTGTTTTCATAAATTCGCATAGTACACTTTTACCTACCTAGTGAATAGTGGGTCGATGTTATTATAAACACTAACATTTTACAAAATGTTAAACAATGTTCCTAAGGTCAATTCATTCTACAGGATTATCAAGGGTAATTTAGGTTGTTTTATTTTATCAAAGGAATAGGATGGTGGTATGGGCTTGAAAATGAGGTACATACACGCTCACTATTTTTCAAGAACGTATCTCTTTCTCTTTAGTCTTTATCGTATGTACCCCACCTCTCCTAAAAAAACCCTAGAAAACCTCTGTCTTCAACATTGCACCGAACCACCACTGCTGCTGCCACACGGTGAACACCATCGCAAATGTCGCTCACTGCTGATAAGGTCGAATCGCTCCAACAGTTCTCTATAATGTGGTTTTGAAAGGAACGACAAGCTCCTCCATTATGCATCTCCCTCTCTAAGAAGTTTAATCTCTAAAGACGATGCCAATAAGTAGAAGGAGAAGGGTTTTAGCATAGTACATGGAAATACTTGTCGCGAGTGTTGAGAATTCACACTCCATTTGGAAAACGTTAACTCATAGACGCAGATCATACAACCACGGTTCAATGTCTTCGTTTTGAACAAAGCCATTTCATGCTCTCTCTCATGGAATTCAATCCTTCTACGCCTCTCTAAATTTTTGCCACCCAAATCGACCTTCACCATCGATGCTACCATCATGTTGATCACCATGCTAATTGCTATAAAGTTTCCACCACCATCATCATGGCTCACCGCAACCACGACCATCAAAAACACTAGATCAGGTGATTTCTTTATTTGGATATTCTTTTTATCAAAAAACAGACCGACCAATTCTTCATCATTACAAGATCAACAAGGGAACTGGTAAATCCAATATTGAATGTTTGTTGTCTTCCCCCCCCCCCCCCCCCAAGTAGGTTTTTTCTAATGGATGAGAACAATACATGCATCATTGGTAACTTTGGGTTGCTGATTATACATATGCATAGAGTTTTTATTTTTCATATTTTCTGAAACAATTTTAGGTGAAGAATCGTTAATCATGCACCAGTTGAAGCTAATTAAAGAGACGATGGAAAACATATGATCTCAAATAGAAGAAATGGAAGGAGAAAAAGGAAATGAAAATTGTTGGGAAAAACGCGTGTGATTTTACATGATTCGACTTTCCTTCTGGAAGAAGACTCATGTTTCATCGAAGACCTGGATTTGGGCAACTGGGTACTAAGTGTGTGGTCAAAGAAAACCATTTTCTAGCTAATTCGGCTAAAATGGATTTAACCCAATACAACGTAAGTAAAGTAAACCATCCATTCTTTTTATTAACAATATTAACTCAAATTTTTAAGTGTTTTTGTTGTATTTTA